GTTGCAAAAATGCGTCATGACCTTTCCGACAACCCACTATTTAGAAACATCGCGTTGGGATAAGGCTGATACTCAGAGTTTCTGCATCGTTACAAAATATCCTACTGCTTGGTTAAAATGTGCCTATTTGAGAAACCCTTAGGAGATTACCTACTTATTTAACTAGGTTCTGACCACAGAATGGTGTTCTTGGAGAATCCCTAAGGCACACTGGTTCACAGCGTGTGGACCCTGGATTGATCTCCTTAGAATCGCAAATTCTCGCCAGACCCACTGAGTCAGCAGCTTTGGGAATGGGGCCGTACTCTGCATTTTAACCAGCCTCAGGTTTGTGGACCACTGCCCTAAGTCATTTTATTCTGCAAACAAAATCTGAATCCAGAGATCAGGGGTCTGCAAACGTCTATAATGGGACAGAGGGTAAATATTTAAGACTTTGCAGGCCACAGAAGTCTCCGTCCTGTTTTCTTCTTCTTTGTTCTTCACAACCCTTTACAAATGTCAAGTCCATTCTTCAGGGGAAGAGAGGAGAAAGAAAGGGCACCAAGGTAGGCTTTCAGATCCACCCTGTAAAGTTGGGCTGGGAGATTTGGGGGAAAAAAAGTCCCTCTCCCTAAGGGCTTTTAAACATGTTTGACCCAGGTCTCTGATCCGATTAGTTGTCGGGGGTTTCTGACAACACCAATCTGCAGGGCCTGGGCATTCCTAGTGGAGGGAGAGGCTGGCTCTAGCATTTTCTGGCTCAGGGCATTTTGCAAGCTGATGCCAAGAGAATTCAGACAGCACGAGCTCATCACGGGCAGGCTGGAGCCAGGAAGGAAGTTGGCGATACTGTGAATCACACAGCAGATCAAATTCAGGTCCAATATTCTGTCCACCTTCATCAAGGCCACACGTCCCACAGGATGAGTCACCTACGATGCGCGGCCTGCTGGTCTCCTGGCCCTCTGCTCTGACAGCCTCCTCCATTTCCGTGGCTCACGGAACACATCCCAGGGCAGGGAACTGGAGCAGTTAGTCAAGTTTGACATCCCAGGCTTCGCTCCCTCCCGCACTGGAGGAAGCCCAGCCCTGAGGCTCATAGAAAGCGTTCCAAAGTGAGACAATGACAGAGCTGCCCTGTAGGGATGTAATGAACAGAGTGGTGCAGCATCCAGGATGGCGCGCCAGGCTGAGGGGAGGCAGTGACTGCAGGTGGTCCAAGTCCCCAGGGAGCAGATATTCCCGATGACCTTGCCTTGGGTGCCCAGCCCACTGCTGGGTTCTCCATGGTGAACAAGCAACGCAATAGTCAGTCGTCAGAAGCTTCCGGGACGTCGTCCCCTTCTTCCTCTTCCCCCTAACTCAGTTGTTTTCGCCACACTGGTAACAGAGGCACCAAGTGGTTTATGGGAATGTTCCTTCTCCCCGTCTGGCTGCCACATCGCGCATGGGGCAGCAATAGTGGTCATCACAGTAATGCCCAGTGGAGCCCAGCTTCCTGCTGGGTGGTTTTCATGGGTTAGTTCATTTAGCACTCATAATACACCCATTTCATAGATGAGGAAGCTGAGGCTCAGAGATGGGCGGCCACAGAGTCGGTCCTGTGGGGTAGCCAGGCTCTGACGAGGGAGTGAACGCTATGCCACTGGGGAGAGAGGGCAGGACACAGGCTGGCCACACCCAACAGCATCTGAACCCCGGAGCAGACGGAACCTGACCGCTGCCCCTCCCGGCACCTGCTTAGCACCGATCACCCAGTTTTGCTCAGAAAAGACATTGTGGCCCAGCCACCCTCGAGCTCAGACAGTAGGACATGAAGGGGCCAGAAAGAACCCATGGGTGGTTTGTGGCTTCTGGGAGTGGGACAGAGTCTGCCTCTGACATGCATTTCCTCCTGTCTCACTCACCTGTGCTCACCGTCCGCCCCCCAACGTGGGGCCATTCACCTGTCTTACCTGCCTGGCAAATGTGGCACAAAGCTGACAAAACACATCCACATTTGGAATATTTCCAGATTTTAAAACAAGAAATAGACAGGAGAGCTTTAACATGCTGTTGCACCATAGGTACCTACTACAGGCAGTTTGGGAAACATTTAAGGATGCATAAGAGAAGGTCAGGCCTTCAGGGTGTCACACTGCAGCACCCATGCATGGGCCAGTCCTACCTGGAGTGCCCGCCTGCCCGGAGGCCCCAGGCCCGCTGTTTGTTGTCCCCTCTGCAAGACGAATGCCCCTGGTGTGATGGGCAGGCAGCACCCTGTCCACTGAGGTCTCTCTTGCTAGACTCTGAGCTCCTTGAAGGCACAGACGTGCTTCTAACACAGTCATGTGTCCCCAGCGTGGAGCGCAGCCCCAGTGCCACAGAAGACACTCGGTAACTGTGCCCCAGAGGACTACTGGCAGCAAACCTCAGACCTACCTGGGCAATTGTGACAAATGGGAGAGTTTTGCCTACATCACAGGCCCATCAACACGGGGCAGCAGAGCAGGGAGGGAGTCAGGGGCCGACAAGTTGGAGCGCAGAGTGATCAATATCCTGGGCAGTTGCATCGCGGAAACCACGCCCCTTCGGAACTCGGGCGCAGCCACAGCTCAGAAGAACCATNGGTCTTCCCAGCATCAAACACCAGAGGCAGGGTCTCCTTCTTGCTCCATTCTCCCTGCCGGTACCTGCACACTGCCTCTCACAGGCTGGACCTAGCGCGCAGGGGAGCTCACCTGGGCTCCCTTCCCTCCCAGGCTGTCTCCCCCTGGGCGCCCTGTTTGGACTGCCCCTGCAGGGGCCCAGTCACTGTGGTTTTGGGTCCACTCCTGGATTCCCAGGGCTGCAGTGGGAGGTCTTATTAATAGGACACTTGCAGGAGGGCCCCTTCCCTCTGTACCCCTGCAGCATCGTTCCAGAGCCCCCCTCCCCCCCCCCCCCCCAACACACACACCCTCTCTCTGCTCACTCCAGTGGCTCCTCCTGGGCTGCTGAGCCAGGTGCGGTGGGAACCCTGAGTAGCAGATAAGTGTGTGCCCAGCTGCTTGAGCTCTGAAGTGCGTACCACCCGCCCCCACCCCTGCCCTGTTTACACTACCCACTTCAAACCACTGGGGACAAATAATAGTGCAGAACAGGCAAAAGGCCTTTAAGAATCAAGGCTGGAGTGAAAGGTGAGGCCTGCCTTTGGTTTTCCCAGGCCACTGCAGGAGACGGGGGCTACGATTCACTAAGTGCACCCAAAGTGTAGCTATGATTACTATTTAAAATTACTACTGTTACTACTATGCTGGACCCTCAAACATGACCTCCTTCGACCCTCTTGGCAGCCCTGTGGGCAGAGCCAGGACTAGAGGGAGGACGGTGAGGCGCCCAGGGTGCCAAGTTTAAGGAGCTGATCACTCAAGGTTGCCAGTCTTGCCCTTGCCCGAGCATGAGTAACCACATCCTTTAATGTGGGCCCTGGGGTGCCTGTGACAGGGTCTTTCGGTTCCCTAATAAATGAAGGACGAAGCTGAGCTTCAGAGAAGGGCAGAACCCCCCATGCAGGGCTATCACGTACCTGGTGGTTCTCCCCAGGGGCACTGTCTTCAGCCTCCCTTTGCTGGTGGTCCTCTTGGGCAGCTGGGGGAGCGGGTTCCGAGGCTGGCTTTGCACCCTCCACACCCATGTCCAGAGAGGGCGCCTCACCAGTGGCTTGTGGGAGGTCCTTGCCCAGCCCTGAGAAGCTGCAGCTGCTGTGAGAGGCCTCAGCCGCCGCCGCCCCCTCCTCCTCCTCCTCCTCCTCCCTGGGCCCCGGGTCACCCAAGTAGCCCTCTGGCTCTTCGAAGTCCATCTCTTCGTTTTTCAAATCCTCCTCCGTGCCTTCCGCATAAGCCTCCAAAACTGCGGCCAGGGGAACCTCGTAATGCGGGTAATAGAAAAGGTCGTGGGGGATGACGGAAATCTTGGAGAGGGGAGGGGAGGGTTTGAAATCCAGCCTGTCATCGCTGTGGCTCCCAAGGGTCTCCATGCTGACACTGCTGCTTGGCGGGTTGGAAGGCAATTCCCTGCCAAGCCCCTGGGGGCCTTCCGCCTCCCCGTTTTCCTCGCCATGTCTCCCATGCGGGGACTTTTGCTTGGCCTTTTCATGTACCTCTGGCTTTTTATCCACCGGCGCCTCCTCTGGGGACAGGCAATAGCCCTGATCTTCTTGTTCAGGGTCCACATGAGGTTCGTGCTCGCCAGGTTTCACTGGGGGCTCGTCCGAATCTTCCTTTCGGTGGGCAGACTTTCCTTTCCTTTTACCCAGTTTCTCAGCATGCTCCTCCAGAGCCACATCCTCGGCAGGTTTTTTCTCAGGAGGCGAAGGTACTTCATTGAAAGCCTGGCTGGTCGAGGCGAAATCTACTAGGTCGCTGTTAAATTTAGAGGCTTTTAGTGGTATGCCTTCGAAATAGTCTTCTTCATCCATAGCTTCTACAGTCAGCAGATTTACCTTGATCTCCAAGGAATCGGCCATAACAGTATCCTCTCCAAGGGGGTACAGGGGATGACTTTCTTCCCCCTGGCTGGCTGCCCTCTCCAATGCCCCATTCCAGGAGGGAGAACTCTGGGAAGTCTGAGAATTATCGATCTTACCATCTGCCACGGAAACATCACGTACGGCCTCGTCAGAGGCTACTTCCGGGGTCTTTGGGGCTTCCTGTTTTGGCTTTTCCTCGGCAACCTGCACTGCCGAGATGTGTCCCTCTTGCTTCAATGATTCCTTTGTCCCTCTTGGGCTCTCTTCAAAGCCAAAGTCTTGACTGTAGAAAGTGTCCTTACTGCAGGAAGCATCCTTGTAGGTGTCAGCTTCGAAGTGCACAGTTTTCTTGATAGGCAGCGAGATGGACCTCCGGTTTTCCTTTCTGGATAAGATGGAAGATTCTGGAGATGGCTCGCTGATGCTGTTGGTCTTATCTGGAACCTCTTGGAGGACCTGGTCGATGATCTGGTGTATGATCTTGGCAGAGGTGTCTGACAGCAGATGGCTGACAGTGCCGCCCAGGCAGGACTCCTTCACGCTCTCAGGTTTGTCACAGACAAAGACTTTGGAGGGTGGTGGGTGGCTGCTTTCATGGTTAATGGTGTAGGCACGCTCCCCATTTTCAGTCAGAAAGAAGACGGTGCTCTCCTGTTCAGAAGGCGTTTCTTTGATGCGGACAAAGGTGGATTCAATCGGGGCTTCTTTATCTGAATCCTCAAAATCGTCCTGCAAAGAAACACAGGGCAAACACATAAATGAGAAGAGTCTGTAAGTACAACGTGCATTCCCCTCTCAGGAAACAAAAACCAAAGAAGAAAGAGCTGCTTCAGAACTAACGCCAAGTGTACTGATTAAGATGTAGATGGTTGAAAAGACTACTGCTCCTGCTGAAGTGTGAAAACACCAGAGAAATTAAAAACACTAATTTTTTTAAAGCTATGGATGCAAAGAAATCTCAATGAACTAAATAAACTCTAGAGAAGGACAAGCTCTTCCTGAGTGGAGGGTGTCAGCTACTTCATCCCTGCGGGCCACCGCCTAGTATGGGAGTGTATAGTAGGAGAGCTGACCTCACCGAGATAAGAAACAATCAGCCAGATCTTCATTGATTGCATGGGCTGGTGTGAGAGATTGAATCTAGAAGGGCCCCAAACATCAAAACCAATTCTGCTTCTATGCTAATTCTCCCACATGAAGACTTTTGTTGAGTAAGAGGCAGCTGTTGGGTGGGCTGAAAAGCAGACAGTGACCTTGGTATTGCAATGTCTGGCTCCCCATGCACTGGTGGAGACAGTGGGTTGAGCTCATCTGAACATTATTTGAAACTAGAGAGCTGAAATTAAATAAAATTGCAACATATCCCTTATTAACTGCAAAGGCCAAAATGATCATTGCATTGTAAGTCCTTGTTTGGGAAAGTGCTACATTGTCGGGGGAAAAAAAAATGTCATCTACCTCAAGCTCTACTGTTTATTTATATACCAGGTCTGGCATAAAATGAAAAAATTTCAAGGGGCCAAGAAGCAAGAGGAGACCCATAATCAAGAGAAACAATAGTCATTAGAAGTAGACCCAAATATGACCCAGGGTTAGAGTGAGCAAATAAAGACTCTAAAACAGCGGTTCTCAACCTGTGGGTCGCGACCACTTTGGGGGTCGAATGACCCTTTCACAGGGGTCGCCTAAGACCATCGGAAAACCAAAAGATATTTACATTACGATTCTTCATAACAGTAGCAAAATTACAGTTATAGAGTAGCAACGAAAATAATTTTATGGTTGGGGGTCACCACAACATGAGGAACTGTATTAAGGGGTNCAGCACGTGGCTGAAGGCTCCCTGAACGGGCACATTAAATCCTCAGCAACTCTCTAAGGTAGGCTTGGTTCTCTCACCTGTTTTACAGGTGTGGACGCTGAGGCTCAGAGAGTCCATGTCATCTTCCAGGACTGGGAAACATGGCAGCCATGCCCCAGGACCTGTGCCCTGAACTGCCACGTGGGAGCTGAGGCTGATGGTGAGACCGACAGCCAGGGGCCAGCCATGGTCATAAATATGGGACGTGCTTTTTCAAAGAACATCTTTATTGAGATATATTCACATTCCATTCAATTCACCCATTTCAAGTACACAATTCAATGACTTCTTAGTGTATTCGTAGATGTGCACAAGCGTCACTAGTCAATTTCAGAACCTTTTCATTACCTCAAAAAGAGATGCCATATTCTTTGGCTATCTCTCTCCCTAATCCCTGTCAACCCTAAGCAACCGCTAGGCTACTTGCAGACTCTAGAGCTGGCCCTGTCCTGGACGTTTCATAGGAATGGAATCACAGAATACGTGGTCCTTTGAGTCAGGTACCTTTTACGATATTTTCAAGGTCTGTCCATGTTGTAGCCTGTCCCTGGTTCTTTTTCATGGCCGAGTGACATTCCACTGTATGAATATACTGCATGTTGTTTATCCACTCGTCCACTGATGGACATTTGGGCGGTTCCCATTTTCTGGTTATTATGAATGATGCCGTTAGAAGCTGTGCTGTGCTTTTTTAGCCGCTGCCATCTGTACTTTCCCCTACAGTATGGGAGGCAGAGCCCACCTCCGTCTTCAAAACCCCAAAGTGCTTTCCCTTCCTCCTCTTGGCAGCTGGACGTGGGTGGGGACCCAGGCTTGGCAGCCCACACCATTGAATCTGGATGTGTGACACTGCGTTCATTCCAGGGGCTGTGGTGGGGGCAGTGACGTCCTTCTCTCAGAGGCAGTGGGGACAGTGCAGTGGTGGCCATGCCCACACAGGGCCTTGGATTGGGAGCGTGGGGGACTCTGCAGTGGTCCCAGCACCTGGCATCTCTTGGTTCCATCCCTGATTCGCAGATTTTAGGTCACTCCGTGTACAACTTGGCACGCTTTCAACAAATTCCTTTTCTGCTCAAATCAGCCAATCTCAGCTTATGTTGCTTCCTACCAAGAACCCCAAGTGAATCGCACTTTATGACAAAGTTTTACCATATGTGCTGACGCGTTGGGCAAACTGCGGTGTTTTTACCCCAATTAATTGGCAAAGCTTAATGGAAGGGGAACACTGCAAATTTCATCCCTCTTAGGCCATCCGTTCCCATTTTTGAAGGACACGAAGCAGAGTTCAAAACACAGAAAAATCTAATTTAAGCCTAGAAAAATTACATCAAAGAGGGGAGAATTTTGTAATTTTCCCTGGCTCATTTAGCGCCCCCTTTCCGCTTTGCTCATCCCATATTCTGAGTTGTAAGAGAAACTTTTACACGCTGACATGCTCACTGCACTCTTATTCCAAGGTAAGAAAAAGAAAATGTCAACTAAGTCCTAATGATCTGACAGCCAGTCAACTGTCCCACCTTTCCCACGACTAAATGTCCACTGGAGTTTTTGTCCTGATGGGGGATGGGAGGGGCGCAGGGAGTCAGGGGCTGTGTTGGCAAGTGATGAATTAGCTGAGTAAGTTGCGTTAAATTTAAGGTTAATGTAACCATTTCAGCAGGGTTCTCTTTACATGCTCGTCTTTAGACCAGCACTGAACTTCGAACAATGTCCTTTTTGCTACAGGACAGGCCCGTGTTAACAAGATGTGTTTCAAATACTTACATTGCTATCTTCCAAAAACTTAAGTGCTTTCGCTATGTTGTTTAACCGAAAAATACGGTGGGACGAGGACTTGTACTCATGCAGCTGTAACACAAAACAGAGCGAAACCAGGAGTTAAATCGACACAGACCCTTCACTCCCCGTGGTGCTGGCAGAGGGTTCGCTTATCTTCTTTCCCGGTTTCACATTAATCTCAAGAGAGAGAAAGGGGCTCACAGCTGAAACCCAGCCCTTATTTATGGTTCCCGGGACTTCCCTCAGTCGAGCTGGTGAACAGGGGACCCAGGGGTTAAACAAGGGACAGATTTGTCAGGTTTTTCTCTCTGACCCTGCTCCTGGCTTTTGATAGTCCTCCCTCCTCCAGAGCCCTCAGTGACATGTTCTCCTTGTGGAGCTGATGGTTTCTGTCAGGGCAGGGAGCCTCTGCTGGGAGCGTCACCTCACAGCTGCTAAATCATCCAGCAAGCCCCCCTCTTGGGGCGGCAGATGTTCCTGCTGGCCTAAAGTTCTGTGAACAGTTATCCCAGGTCAGAGGGACAGAGAGACGAAGACAGACAGAGAGACAGAGACAGGCAGAGAGGAGAGAGAGAGACAGGCACAGAGAGGGGGGCTAGAGAGAGATATTAAAACAGAGAGAGAGAGAGAGAGAGAGAGAGAGAGAGAGAGAGAGAGAGAGAGAGATGCATTTGCAGAAGCTACAACTCTGACATCATTAGTTGTACACACAGGAAGCCCCATCGGGATAAACATCTGGAATTGAAGCTCATGGTGGTGGGTGGTTTACATGGCAAGGCAAACCAGTGGGTGTCAGCCCCACCTGGTACGAACTGCCAGGCCAAGCTCATGGCTGCACCTATGTGTCAGCTATGGCAGGTCCCTCAGGCAAACCTAACACTGGCTCTACAGCAGGGTTTCTCAACCTCAACATTACTGGCATTTTGGCCAGATCATCACATCCCCCAGGGGACATTTGGCAATGTCTAGAGGCATGTTTGGTTGTCACACCTGGGGGTACTACTGGCATCCAGTGGGTAGAGACAAAGGACGCTGTCAAACATCCTGCAATGCACGATCGGACCCAGGTCAACAGAGCTGAGGCTGAGAAGCCCTGGAGAGAACCACCCTGCACATAGCAGACACGCTCAACGTGAAGGGGTTTGGCTACAGTCAAAGTGAAATGAACCTCAAGATCAAATGGTTCAATTTAATTTCGGTCATGCTTATTAGAAGGTTCTAGAAGCCAGCAGTTCCACTTTTAGCCTCGGGATAGATGATAGAATTTGGTCGTAAGATGCCTTTCCCTTCCATCTTACTGATTCTTAGCTATCAGGCAGGTTAATATAATGGCTGGCCAGCTAAACTATAATGTTCTAGTTTCAATCTTTAGCCTTAACACACTCACAGGAAATACTGGGCTTTTTATTCATTTACTTACTAAAGTATATTTGCTAAAAAAAAAAAAAAAAGAAAAGAAAAGATACTGCTTAGTACATGTGATTTTTGTCAGACTTAGTCACTGAGAAAGGAATGTCACCCTTCTAAGTTTCTTGTCATAGGATTTACGTGTGGCCAGACATGTATACAGATCTGTAATGAAAAGAAACCATCAGCACTGTCTTCCTTTGCGTTTCATTTCTTCCTGACCCTTCTGTGACATACGTACCAGATTTCTCCCAGACAGGACTTCTAACAAAGCCATGAGGATTTTGCCATCTTGTATATCAACGAATAGATCTTTAACTTCTAGAGGTGGGTTGCACTATGGAAGAAGGGGAAAGAAAGCAGTCCATTAGCGACCAGCCGAATGGAGACCTGGGTAACCCAGAGAGCTAAGTCAGAGTTGCAGGTTTCATGGAAGAGGAAACATCCTGACGACCACCTCTGTCTACAGGCAGCAAGGCCTGTCGAAGGCGGGAGCAAGCCTGTTCCCTGCAGGTGAGGGCTAGGTAGTGGGCGGCCTGAGGTGCTGTGGAGGAGACAGCATCAGGGGCCCCACTGAACAAGTGACCCCTGAGAACCCTTCAGAACCTGAGATCTGACCCCAGAACCACACAGTACCATCCACGTTTCTCCTTGAGGGGACAGAGGAACGGCATGCCTTGGTCACAGCCTTCCATCAAACAAAATCATTCTGGAAGTAGGACTCTCATGAAATGACCTGGTTGTAAACCCTTCGCCCTGGATGTGGGCACCCCGAGGCTCAAAGAAGCTGGGTGACAAGCCCAGTGTTTGGACAAGTCCGCTCTTTGGTACAGTCCTGTTTCCTCTTCAGGACACACCGGCTGAGTCCAAGCACAGCCTGGATCCACACTGCGATGGCGTGACCCTGGGTCAGTTACCTCCTGGGCCTCGGCCCAGGTGTCGGCAGGACTCCGCCATCTCCAACACTGCTCAGTCTTCATATGTGCACCTTCCTGAGGTGCCACTGTCACTTCATCAATATTTAGCCCAAGTCTGGAGAGGGGGTACCTTTGGCAGAGGAAGCTGGGAAGGGGGCTGGCGAGTGCAACTTGTTGGGAGGGAGCAGAGGGGGGAGGGACAATCAACTGGCCCGTTGAATGCTGGGTGGTTGGGTAAGGGGAGTGACTCTTTTCTTCTACCTCCAAGACGTAGGTCTGTTACAAACTCAAAGTTTGAGAGGCTGATTTATATGTTTTTGTTGATATGTTTATATCATATAAATACATATTTATATGCTTAGGTACAGGAGTAATACATATTCATAACAAGTCACACTAGTTAAAACTGTATAAAAAAGTTAATCCATGGAATGTCACTGCTTCTTTCCTCCATACGTCAGGTCTCCTGAGATAAATCAACATTATTTCAAGATGCACCTTTCACTTGTTCCTCTAAGAAGCAAAGGGCTAAGACACACCTGACTTCAAAGCCAGGCTCTGCCCTCAGCAGGAGCTTGGCCTTGGGCATTTTCCTTAGGCCTGAGTGTCCCTGGCTCCAAGGTCGGGTTAGGAATCTGACGCACCTCAGAAGATGGAGCTAAAATGAAATGAGATCACGCAGGTAAAGTACCTGGCGTAGCAGCTTCCTTCCAAGCTTACTCCTGTCAGTCAAACGAGTTTACTAAGAAGTGGCTTCCTTCCTGCAGAGTCTTGGGGTGCCCTCTTTAGTAAGGCATCTCGTCCAGGGGCGTGTATGCCTCAGGGCTGAAAGGGAGATGTCCTTAGCTGGGGCCTCTCCGCAGGGAACGGCCCTAGAAACATCATCTCTCCACCCCATTTGCTTCTCTTCCTGGGTTCCCTGGGTCAGTAAATGGCACCCTCAGCCCCACTTTACCTCAGCTCTTCCATCTCCCTGGGGGGAAAGGCAACTCTCCTTTCAGGATCTGGAGCGTGGAGGGGCCTGGGTGGGAAGAGCTGGAAGCCACCCCAGGTTTCCTCTGAGCCTAGACCTGGAGAGGTCTGCTATCTAGAAACCAACACTGCCTTGCTTGCCCACCAAGAGTTTGGCTGGACGTGGCCTGGAGTCCCCGGGGCAGGAGGGAACTTGGCATTCAGATGCTCTGGCGCATGCATCTGCAAAGTGGGTTTCGCAGAACACTTGGTTTCAGCAGAGCAGCATCAGGGTGGCCTCTGGGGGCCGAGGGACGTCACGAAGGAGGCTGATCCACTGCACCTCCTTCATCTTTGAGGCTCAGCTCTTCCAGGCCTTTGTTTAGGGTTCCAGGTAGGACTACTTGAAGAAAGGTGTCTGCTGACTAAAGCTTGATCATCAGCCCTTTATGCAGCATGGTTAGGGCTTACCGCAACAGAATCTTGGGGAACGGGGTCTAGAAATGTGCATTTTTTAATAAGCCCCTACCCCAGCATAAATTCTGTTTACCTTTCGATATTGGGGCCCTGGGCAATATCAGAACAGTTAGGCAGGGTGCTCTCTGCTCCTGGGTACAATGAAAGGGGGTGTTCACAGAGGAAACAGGGTTAATGGGGTGGAGGTGGGGGTATGGCTGCTGTAACCAGCCAGAGACCCGGGGTAAGGAGTCTTGGAAACACGGTGGAGCTGTGGCCCAGGCACCCTTTTCCTCCGGGAAGGTCTCCTTCCCGGGATAGTCATGGAGGGTCTGTGTTTTCTGTTTTTATTAAGGAAGGTGGTATTTCCTTAGCCCTTATACGAGCCCCCTGACCCTCTGTGAGTCAACATGCAGGACGATTCCACCCACAGGTGCACAGCAAAGGGCTTTGCTTCAAGGGCAACGGCGACTTTGAACCCAAAAGGCAAGTTATTTTCTTTGCCAGCTCCCCGCAGCTCCTTGGGCACATTCCAGGCCGCGCACAAGAGCATCAGGTTACAGAGGCTCTGATGGAAATCTTACCCCTGCTAATGCAAGGCAGAAATCGCCAGACCTGAACAAAACAGCCCCTGATAGATGGACTAACACAATTTCTAGTTACCAGCCCCGGCCGTGGCCAAGCCTTGCGTTCGCCTTGAACCCGGAGAATCACTTCCATTGACAGTGTCTACACGGACCTCAGCAGCAGCGCTGCTGGCTCAGGGAGCCTTGGCCGCAGTCCACCCTGCGATATGGCAGCAGGAGAAGCTGAAACGATGCCAGGGAAAACACTCCTGGGGCCCCCAAACGTTCCGTGGGCTTCATGGGATCGGTATGGCCGAGTAAACAGCACCCCCAGGGCTTTCTTCATGATCTAACTCCTTCGGTAAATTAAGGAATTTTTCCAGAAGCCCGAGGCTCAGTAAATATTTCTGACAGTCTTCAAATTGCAGTTAAGCCCAATTCCCCCAGGAGTTCCTGGGTTTCCTTTACATGAAAGGTTGTTCTTGAACGTCTCGAGGTTGGTAACGTGGCTGTTAATTTTGCCCTGTTTATTAGGCATCAGTTTCAGGTGCTATCTGATTTATCTTCTGAGTGGGCGCTACCCACCTGCCTTGCAGAAGGAGCCGGAGCGTAGCCAAGGAGAAAAGCCCTGGTATGATAAATGCTAACAGGGGCTCATTTGCAGCGGTGAGTGAGTGCATGGGTTTTTTGCTAGACTACCCTCTGTACTTCCCTGTATTTGTTTTTTAATTAAAAAAAGAGGAACGAAAGAGAAGAAAGACACCATGGCTACACTCTGTCCACCAGGAGGAATTTCCAGCGACCCTGACACACATCAGGCATTAATTTAGGAATTCAGTGAACTCAGGTTTGGGAAACGGTTTTCTTTCCCCCCCCCCCCAGAAATAACACTTCACTTTATGAGCCCTGCCGAAAATGCACCAATAGTCAAAACGACTGGCAAATGATTTATAACACTTCACCGGTGAAATGTAGTCTTTCACCTGAAGAGTTCAGGAGCCCCCTGGGTCCATTGTAACCCATTCTACAGGCGGGGAGCAGAGGGTATGGGTGGCCACGTGTGGCTTGAGAAATGTCACAGGCCTAAAGGTCAAGTACACAAATACGAATTTTGGTCCAGAGCTCCACTTCCTAAAAGCCACTTTTATTCTCTCTGCTTTCTAATCATTTCAATAATTTCCTCTAAGAACCTTTATTTGGGTTAACTCAAAGGACGGTCAATAGGTACTCTTGTGCCTTTTAAGAAGACAAGAGAGAAGATATACCTAAACTAACTGAAGTGGGGTACTTGAATGCCACCAGATTTAACAAGAAATGAGAAGGGTGGTTGGGTCTACTTGGAGAATCACAAACAGCGGAATTTCAGAAGCGAGAAGTGACATGAGTGAAAGGAATCCTGATGTCAGCTTTCTTATAATGAGAAAAATAACCTCTCCTCCCCCAGCCCCTGGGCAACGTAGAATGTTCTGGGCCAAGGGCTAACCTAGTGTGTAAGGAGGGCTGGGGCTTCTCACTGCAGCTGCCGCTTCACTTGTCATTCCCGCCCCTTTTGTCTGCTTCTCAGGCGGCGGCTTCTGTTTTCTTCTGTTTCCGGTGTGCGTGCCTGAGAAGCTTGCAGACAAAACGCAGCTCAAATCTGCCTGGCCAGAGGAGGTTAGACAGAAAAAGGGGGCGCAGAGGAGAAGCCAGGGAAAGGGGTTCCTTCTGACTGTGGGCTTGCAGGAAGCCATTAGCCTCTGTTTTCTTAATAATAACGGGAGAAGAAGGGGTACTGAGGGTTGTCATGGGGATTAGAAGAGACGTGTGATGCACTGAGTAGGGTGCCTGGTGCGCCCAAAGGGACGGGTAACATTACTGATCAATCGCAGCACTATGTGGCTCACAAGAGGATCTGGCTTTGTTCAAAGGCATCAAGTGTTCTTGCATAAATCCATCCAAACACCTACCAATGGCTCTTAAATGACAGCCCCTCTCCCTCCACCGCCTTCTGGAAGTCACGATCCCCCTCGCTTTCTGTCCATGGAAGTGTTTGGGCTGTTCAACATGAACGAATGTCTCCTAACTTTTGTTCATCGTTCCTATTTAAAGATAGACCCCTCTCTCCTTCCCCAACTAGACTGACAACCGCAGGAGGACATAACTGCGCCTTACTTACCTTCCGTGTTCCCAGCACTGAGCTTGATACCGGCAGTGAGAATGCACTTGACAGATGTTTAAATGAACGAACGAAAACAATACCACCACCACCAGAAAACACAGAGCCAGCACTTCCCCCCACTGTGCTACTGAGCTGTCCACTCACTTATGGACGAACCCACCAGTTACCAAAAACCCAAGTATGCCGCTTACCTTCTCCAGATGTAGGTTTATCCATCGAGTGAAGGTCCTCTTCTGCACATTTTCCCTCTCAACTGGAAACAAAGAAATGCTATTAGCTGAGCGAAAAGAAATCCATGAAAACTCCCGCCCTCCGCTTCCCAAGGGGGAGCCTAGGTGGATGGAGACAGGGCCCCGGAGGGTCCACGTATGAACAGGAAGGGATTTAGCAAGGGGCTCGGTGGCACCTAGAATCCATTTTCCCCAGGGCCCTCCACCCCCGAGCATCTGAAATGGATTAAATACCCACGAAATCAGACACACAGAACCAAATGTTGTACGCAACCTAATGTGAGCATTTGGGCATCAGACTCTCCAGCTTAAGGAGAGGCAAATGGAGGACACAAATGAAAACCACAAGGCGCCTGGCTGCAGTGATGGAGCTGGGGTGCTGGGACAGACGGGGCACAGGGCTACGGGAGGTCAGTGGGTAGGGACTGGGATGGCGCTCTGGAAGGTGCCAGAGTGTGGTGGGACGGATACGACACTCCTGGTTTGGACTCTTAGCCCTGTCACCTCCCAGCTTTGTGTCTTTAGGCGAGTTCCTGTACCCATGTCTGATCTGCCTTAAGATACCTGCCATCCTGCAAGTCAGTTCAACACAGTCCCTGGCACAATGGCTGCTCTCCTTTTTTCTTTGCTGCTGTTATTTTGAGACCCAGGGGACACCCGACACCCTTCAGGAAGGGAGGGTTCTGTGGGAGCCTGTTGAGTCAGAGCCCCCGTGAGCCAGGGGGACACAAACCAGATACAGACCCCTTCTCCCAGGGGACAGCATTTCCCAAACAGCTTTCTTAGGAAAGCTCTTTACTTTTCAAGGGTTAAGGCCATCTACCCAGCACTAATTGTGACCTGGACACTTTGTTTCCATTAATCTTTAAACCTGACAAGACCGCCTGCAGAGTAGAAACTATTATTTTACAGGTGAACAAAATGGGGCTCAGAGGGGTACCATGACTTGCCCAGGGCACCTGCTGGAGACAGGCAGAGCTGGGTATCGCCCCCAGGTCTGTCTGTCCCCCATTGGTACCCTGGAAAGGGAATGTCTGCGTTTGAACCCCAGTTCTTCCAATTACGGCAAAGATATCTGCAATAGTAGCGATAATGATTAAAAAAATATGTACCAAGCGCTGGTTATGTGGCAGGAACCCATCTAAGCACGTTACCTGCATTCACTAATTTAATCCTATTGCCTCAGAGGCAGGGACTATTATAACCTTCAGATGGGAAAACTGGGGTACTTGTCCAAAGTCACACAGTTACTAAAGTTATCATTCCTGTTTTACAGATGAACAAAATGAGGGTCAAATAGCAAATATGCAGCAAAGTTGGGACTCGGATTCTGTGCTTTTCCCACTCCCTCCCAAGCTCTGTGGCATTAGCTGGCTTGGCGTCCTAGGACCCGGAGGGCGTTTCTGCAATGGGTGGCAGTGCCAGCGATGGGCTTGGGTGCTGGGTGCGCCTTGCAGCAGCCCCTGAAGCTTAGGCGGCTATGTCTCGGAGGAAGAAATGTCAGCGCCAGATGACTCCCAAAGTACCAAGTTCTAGATTTCAACATGTTGGAAGAACACATCACAGATGCTTAAAGCCATTTCATGTTTCTTTAGCAATAAGAAAATGAGAGGCAATTTATCTCCTGGGGGAGAGAAAAAAAAAAAGGCTCCAGTTTTCTGTAACAACTATAGTTCTTTCTTTCTCTCGGCCTCATTATTGGGTAGATAGTGGTGCCTATAAATCAAATTTTAATATTGTGCCTTTCAATCTTTTTAATTGAAGAGCCAGCAGACAGTAATTATGCTTTATATGACTGCTTTTCTCTCATTTTCCTCCTTTTTTATAAGGGAAGGTTCCCTGGCAAGTAGGCATTAAGGATTAAATATCTAATTCCAGTAAACTGTTTCGTGGGTAGGGAGAGGAGGGTGAAAGGAAAGCAGTTGAGAGAAATGATGCAGGGAGTGGGGCATTTGCTGAGGGCCATGAGTTATAGAGTCTCAGAGCTTTCCGCAAGATTGGGGAGTACACTGCCTGCAGCCCCATTCGAGAGCTTTCTGCCTCGTCAGCTTTTTCTATAACAGTTTAGTTACCATCCCTCACAATGGGCACTTTCCAGTTTTTCAGGGTTATCAACAGCGCAGGAACAAGCATCCTTGTACAAAAACGCCCTGGTATGTGGTTCTTTATACAAAAGCGCATGAATGTATTTCTCATGCTTGACAACTACAAGTGGAACTGCTGGGTCTTAGTGGTAGGCACATTTAAAATTTTAATAGCTACTTCCAAATTGCCCTCCCCAAAGGCTGCCCCAGTTTATACTCTCACCCCCCAGCTGTCTTTAAACAAGTTTATGGGGATTGTAAAGTATTTACACACACATTCAAACACTCAGGCTGGTTTCTCCACATGGCTTCAGAGAGAGCAAAGTATGAAACAGAAGTGCATTCAGTGAAAGCCTGAGAGAACCTGGGTTAGGCTGTCGGTTTAACTGTGCGGAAAGGTGTAAATGAGAAAGTGGGTGTCTGTTAGTCTATATATGCCTCATTCATCCATCCATCCATCCATCCATCCATCCATCCATCCATCCATCCATCCATCCATCCATCTATTCCCCCTCCCAGCTGGTACTTATTCAGTGATTATTACAGGCTAGGAAGTATGCCAGACCCTGCGGGCACAATCAGAGATAAAGAATTAAACATTCACAGAATCTGCACTACAAAAAGTCATAGACAAGTAGGAGAGACAACATGGACTCCACAAAGCACATATGCAAAGAGAGATGAATTAGAAATTTTGAGGGCTGATGAGATGGGAAGAGGGGATTTCAGACCCCATGGGGTATTTTTTCAGAGGTCCTAAGAGGACCCCACAGTAGAATTAGGACCCAAAGGGACTCCTGAAGGCAAGGACAACATTCTGACCCTGCCGTGACCCACAGCCCACATCTGGGAAGCTTCAGTTCGATTCCAGCCAGGGCCAGTGGGCGGATCTTAGCACAAGTCCACTTTGACAGCAAAGCTGACCCACGGGAGGACAAGGTGGTGACCTAAGACACCAGGGGACCATGAGACTAAATCACAAACTACTGATGAGTCCCAAACTGAAATCGGGAATGGAGACCAGGTTTTCTGGACCTGAAACTGGGACATATCACTCAATACACAGGAGAGAGAGAGAGAGAGAGAGAGAGAGAGAGAGAGAGAGAGAGAGGCGGTGCAAATTTGGCCTGCCCCAGAATATGCACTTGAGAGCCCACATCATTAGCCGCGTGACCTTGGGAAAGTTCATAACTTTCAAAATACCTTTGCCTCAGTCTCCCCTCTACAGAAGGAGGGTAGCTGGGCTTTCCTCACAGGCATGCTGTGAAGATTCAATGGGGTCACCCAGAAAGGCGCCCCCATAGCTGTTCCATGAGGCTCACGTTCCCCGGCAGCCATGGCCCCACAGCACACCCTGGACTTGGGGCTATTTTGTCTGGTGTCTCGACACAAAGGTCTGACACGTTCATGGTTTTCTCCATTTCGAAATACCCACCCCCTATGCTGCCGGCCTTCTCTACTTCTGGCCTGCCAAGACTCCATAAACTTTATATAGTTTCCATAAATCCAACGGCCCCTTTTTTCCACCGCACCTATCACGTTGTAAAGGTGTAGGAAACCATTTCTCTGGAAGGGTCTGGCCCTCTCACGCAGTGTTTGTGGGGCCCGGTGTGGGTTTACTGGGCAACAACAGGGTAATAGCAGTGCCGTAAAATCACCGTGCCTGGCTGGCCGGGGTGCCCGAGTGCCAGGTCAGGATGGAGGAGACGGGCCCAGACCTCCAGGGACAGAGACAGACAGGGACACCCAGCCTTCAGGCTCAACTCCACCTTCTAAAATCCCCAGGCGTGGCTGTGGCCCCTGCTTTTCCAAAAACAGACAACGTGAAAATGAGACGTGTGGCATCCCTCTCCTCTCCAGGCCACCAGTGCGTGTTGGGAGCCACAGACAGAGGGACATGGCTCCGGGGGCTCCACTAGACTCATTTACACTTGTGGCCCTCTTTCCTTCTGTCCCCACTCCCCTCAGACCTCAATCTTACGTAATATTCCCTCTATAATATTTCTGCTCTTCCCT